TCCCATCCCTTCCCAGCCTCCCCCCCGCCTCCCACCCAATCCTCCCCCCCCCCCCCACCAAAGTTGTAAAGTTCGTTTTCGACATGACAACTTGTACTTCTCATTGTTGCACGGGTCCACCTGTATCCTTATTTAAACGACTTGTTTTTCCCCTTCCTCTCCACAAATTATACCGACATCAAATACAGTGAAAGCAGGGGTTATACTGTGGGGGAGGGACATACAAAGCAACAAAGAAATAATCTTATAAATGTGTTAGAAACAAATGCATGAAAGAAAAAAATTAAATACATATCTTAGGGTTCATTTTCCTAATATCAACTTATCTGACCTTTTCTGCTTGACTCGTACATATACTAGATATTGCAAATAAGGGAAACCATGGGACCTATGTTTCTTGGGGGTTGGCTTACTTGACTTAATATAATTTTTTCCAAGTCTTTCCACTTCCTAACAAATGGGGCAATGTCATTCTTTCTGATGGAGGCATAGAATTCCATTGTGTATATATACCACATTTTCTTGATCCATTCATCTACTGAGGGGCATCAGGGTTGGTTCCATATCTTAGCTATAGTAAGTAATGCTGCAATAAACATAGTTGTGCTGGTAGCTTTAATGTGGTCTTGTTTGTAAACATTTGGGTAAATGCCCAAAAGTGGAATTGCTGGGTCATAGGGGAGCTCTATGTGGAGTCTTTTGAGGAATCTCCATACTACTTTCCAAAGTGGTTGAACAAGTTTACACTCCCACCAATAATGAAGAAAGGTTCCTTGGGGACATTATCTAGAGAACTTTTCTGCCTACCCTAATCTTGAATTCAGAGTTGAGCCTTCTGAGTAGCTAGGGTTACAAGTGTGAGCCACTGGTGCCTAGATCAATGCACAAATATCTTGTTTAAACAACACATTAAAAATAGGCTAAGTTCTTTAATAAATGATACATCCATACAGTGTAATATCATGTAGCTAATGAAGTAGGGATGCTGGTTCTAACCAACACCATCATGGCCGCATGGTAGATAGGGAATTGGGTTTAACTGGTGCCATCTTGTCTTCATGGTGGAGGAAAGGGAAGTCCCACCTCCCAGATGATAAGCGTGCTTGAATTCCTTAAAGGCAAGTGTGGGCACTTGGGTGATAGGTTCCTGGACCTGTCAGTCCTGTGCCTTAAACTTGGGAGACTCTGAGTTTTCTGTAACCCTACCCACTGATCTGACCCTAAGACACCATTAGACCAGGCCTTGTGTGTTGTGTCCTGTCTTCTGGCTCTCCTCCAGACAACATGGCATCATACTTCAGTTCTCCATTGAGGTTGATTTGGGTTGTTGGTATTGTTTTTCTGCTCTTTATTTCCTCTCCTGCTCTCATGGCTCAGTTTTTCTAACAGTGTTCAGTGTATTTGTAGGGCAGAAGGTCTTTGTGACTGGAGTCTACCTGTAAATGATAGCTTTCTAATAAAGACTCCCAATTCTACCTCTAAAAATATGGCTTCTCTGTTTCTCATGAGTGGATTTGTATCTGAGATAACTTAAAGCACTATGATATATCACCTTGGTTAAAACTATGGATTCTGTGAGGGAGAAAAATCAGGGAGAATGAAGGTTGGCATTGACCAAGAAGTATTGTACTTATAACTTGACATAAGGAAATGTAATCCCTTTGTACATGTGTTGTCTTAAGCAAATTATTTAACTCATCTAATATCTTGCTTTCCTTTGGTCAAAAATAGAAATAATAATAGTACCTACACTAATGGGCTGTTTTATGGATTAACTGAATTACTATTTCAGACATGGTTTGAATTAATTCTGATCCAAGTAAACATTCTTTTAAGAGTTACTTTTTTAGGCAGAATGTAGTGGCTCATGTCTGTAATCCCAGCTACAAGGGAGGTAAGGATCAGGAGGACTGTGGCCTGAGGTCAGACTCAGAAAAGATGGGAACACACCATCTCAACCAATAAGCCAGGCAGTGATGATGGCTTGAGCTGGTGATCTCAGTCACACTAGAAGCAGGCCATAGGTAGGTAGATCAGAGATCAAATCCAGATGCAGACCAAAAAGCAAGAATGTATCTGACAAAATAACAACAACAACAAAGCATTTGGGGCTTGGCCCAAGTGATAGATCTCCTGCCTACCAAGCATGAGACTCTGAGTTCAAAATTCTAGTACTGTAAAATGAGAAAGTTACTTAATTTTAGGGTTGAACTCATGGAAGTTGAGAGTAAAAAAGTATTATCTAGAGGCTGAGTACAGAGAGGAAGGATAGGGAAAGGCTGGTCAATGGGTACTACATTACAGATAGATGAAGAGTAGTATGATTACAAATAACATATGTATAATGACAATATATTTTTAAAGCTAGAAGAGAGGATAGTGAATCTCATTTCCAAAGAAATGCTAAATGTAGCCAGGTGCTGGTGGCTCATGCCTGTAATCTTAGCTACCCAGGAAGCTGAGATCTGAGGTTTATAGTTCAAAGCCAGCCTAGGCAGGAAAGTCTGTGAGACTCTTATTTCCAGTTAACCACCAGAAAACTGGAAGTGGAGCTGTGGCTCAAAGCACTAGCCTTGATTGAAAGAGTTCAGGGACAGTGCCCAGTCCCTGAGTTAAAGTCCCATGACTGACAAAAAAAATTTTTTTTAAGAAGTGCTAAATGTTTAAGGAGATTTAGTGGTAGAGTGCTAGCTATGAGCAAAAAGCCAAAGTGAAAGTGGTAGGCCTTGAGTTTAAGTCCCAGGCCCAGTACTCATGGGTGCGCACATGCATGCACACGTGTGAGCGAGTGTGCACGTGCACTTGAGTGCACGTGCACACACACACAAATGCCATGTTTTGTAACTACTTTTAGTAATGTGAAAGCATCAGCAATATTATTTCCTAGTTGGATGTTGCCCTACTATTTTCCTACCCTACTTTGTTCCAAATAGAATCATTTTTCTCACTACCATGAAACCTCATCGGTTATCATTTGGAGGAGGGGTTTTTCTTCTTAAGGTTTCAATATCAGTAACTCTCTTTTCAGGAGTTAAGTAGTTTCTAAGCAATTTCAAAACAAGTCAGGGGAAAGTGACACCTAGGCTGCCAGCTCTCCTGGCTCACTTTCATTGTGAAGAGCCAGAAAGTTTAGAAGGTCAGGAAGTTATCTCAGTTGAACCCTTTCTGATCATGAGTTTCCAGGGCATTTTTTTCCACTTTCCTCACAGGTCAAAAGATCTGGGTTGTGAAGAGAAGGGCTTTAAAGTATTGAGGATACCTGAGGAGTCATAGGTAGATAAAGATGAGGACGTGCCTGCAGAGACCTAGGGAACAAGGTGACATCATCCATCAAAGCTGTTTAGAGAAAACTTGCTGCTTACTGGTGATTTTCTGGTGACAAGTAAAGTAGCTTGCAATCACAAGTTGGTGAACAGATGCTCAATCTACCCTGCTGGTGTGGCTGGTGAACCCTGCCACTTGGTACCTAAGCTTTTCTTGTGTGAATCACTTAATCTCTCTGTGCTTTAGGGCTTGTCTCTTAAAATGGAGAATAAAGACAGGATCTAAAGCAGAAAGTTATCATGATTCTTAAATGAGTTAATAGTTATAAAATGCTTAGAATGGTGCCTGGCACAAAGATACACATGTTTATCAAAAACCTAACACAGGAAGCAGGAAGCTGCTATATTTACATCAGGAAGTGATCTGTAGACTCTACACTCATGGACTCAGAAAATCTGAAGGTGATGAGCAGAAAACAGAAACCATCACAGGCCTGACCTAGCCAGCAGCATTTGGGAGAGCATCTCCTCCTAGTTCCCCACTCTTCATCACCCACGGAATCAACAACCACATGCCTGTTATGTGGTAATATGAAGAGGTGACTTTGAGACAGCTGGATACTTCAGGGTAGCCTGCCCAGTGCACTCAGACTGCAAGCACTCTGACTGGGGTGACTTCTCTCTTAGTGCTGTGGGTGGAGAAAAAATGAGCAGCCGGAAGTGCCTGGTCAGGAGAAATAAAAGGCCCTGAGTCACCTAATTTGAGGCAAAGTCTTCTACCAGCTCCAGTTCACCGATGAGGAAACTGAAACCCAGAAAAGAGTTACGGACGGAGAAAGTCTGAGTTTTGTGAATTCTGGTGTTTCTAAAATTTGGAGCTTTGGGGAGAACTCATAATCCGATTTTACAATTCAAATACAAAATGCCCAGGGCCACCGCAATGCCACCTGGCAAGAGGCAACTGTGATAGGAAGAGAGGAGAGATGTGGTGGAAAGAGAAGGTGGTCTTAGCTAAGTGTGGTTAAAATATCCTCTTCAGTCAAATCTTAAGGCACGTGAGTATGCATACTACTGGGGCTGCTGATGGGGGTCGTATGGGGATTTTGGGAAGGACCCATGCCTAAAGAAGGAATCCTGTGTTAGCTTCAGTAACATCAGTGAATAAGCTGACAGGATTAACTGGAGGTCCATAGTCACCAGGAAGCTATGACTACTGTAAATCTATAGTATGGTTGGTTGGGAAGGCCATGGACACAGAGGAAGGCAGGGAACATAGACATCAATGCTCTGTAACAAGAGGCTTTAGGAAATCCATCAGCTGTTTCCTAAGAGCCCAAGAACACTGGAAATGGAGGCAAAGAAGCCCAGAAGGAGTAATGTGGAGAAGAGCCAAGTCACAGGGGCTCAGGACTACAGTGCTTACCTCCCTCTGAATGCCCTGAACCAACCAGTGTACACTATTCCATGCATGTAGGCTCCAGGGAGGGAGAAGCAGAGCAAGATGCACACAGGAGGTGAGCTCTGTCTCATGCTGGGCCTGCCTCCAGTCAGTCATCTGAGACACCTGGTATCAGTCATGACACTTCCTTCTTCAGGAAAGTCTTAACACACGGTATTGAGCAGCTCAAGTCAGACATGAACAAACCCCAGCAAGTTTTAGGTCTGGGTTTGGTGTGGTCAGATTTAGTTGAAGACAGTGAAGGGATTCAGGACTTTACTTAGGGAAATGGTTCTTACCACAGAGCAGGAAGGCTGCTATTACAAGGAGAGCAAGTCTCAGTCCCATGGCTCTACAGCTAAAAAATAGAAAAGATAAAACATGGTTAGAAAGTGAAACTGAAAACCAATGGTCACAAAAACATGACCCAGAAATGAAGTTTGGGATTCCTTTGGGTTACCCGGTATAGCAGAGATAGTTGTAGGTGTTCATCAAAGCCATTTCCTTTTCCCCTTAGATCCACTAAATAGACCATCTTTCTAAGCCTCTTCTGCAGTTAGGCAGGCATGTGACTGGGTTCTAACCAATGAGATCACGAGGAGGAAAGATGGACCTGACTTTCAGAAATGGCCACTAAAATTCTCCTCCTTTTTTTTTTCTCTCTTCTCTTCCTTCTTAGATGCAGTGAGTCTAAAGAAAAAGGCAGAGGAACTAAAAGAGGACAAAGCTTCTCAACTGGAGAAACCTAGTTGGGCTGAATAATTTTGTTGAAAAAGCTCTCTCCTAGCCAGATGCCAGTGGCGCATGACTGTAATCTTAGTTACTCAGGACACTAAGATCTGAGGATTGTGAGCAAAGCCAGCCTAGGCAGAAAAGCCCATGAAATTTTTATATCCATTTAACTAGAAAAAGCAAGAAGTAGAGGTATGGCTCATGTGGTAAAGCATCAGCCTAAAGTGAAAAAGCCAAGGGAGAACAGAAGGCTTTCATTTCAAGCCCCAGTACTGGCACTCCATGATATAGATGGATAGACAGACAGACACAGAGCAGAGACAAAGCCAATGTTAAATGTTTGACATAGATATCTCCGACCATGCATTGGACAGGGCACGTTTATGCCTTGTAACTTTTGCCTGCCTATGGAAAAAGGAAAACCAGATCTGTCTACTGGTTCACAGTTAAATAGATAAAAACAAGTCAGTGCTTAAGTGCCACAATTCTTTATCTAATGGCTGGAAATTCTTACTGGGGGTTGGCTTGTCAAGGGTATTCCTGATCCTCTGGGCTGGGCTAGATACCCTTCCTCTCTGTTCCTTTAGCCCTTAATACAGGGGACTGAGCTAAAAGGTATCATATTTCTTCCCCTCTAGACTGTATCATGCCTGTTCATAGTACTAAACTTAAATGGAAATGGTGATAAAAAGTAGGAACCAAGTTCCTATCCAGACTCTATTCCTGGTTGTGTTTCCACAGATGTAACTGGAATGACCATTGTTACCTGCTTCCAGTTTCTTACCTCCATTTTAAGTTATTTTGGTAAAATAAAACAAAATAAAAAGTTTTCCTTTATGTTATGAAAAGCTATGTTATATGTTATGAAAGCTTTCTATGCATAGTTTTGCACACTAACCACCACCTTGGGGAGTGTTCAGTGTCAGTATGTATTAAATATCTTCAGGCTAGCAGTTGTATATTACTCAACTATATTGTTGGATGGCAATAATTTATTTTTCCAGCCCTTACTGATGGACATTTAGGTTGTTTCCAATTTTTCATTTTAATGAAAAACATTGATTATGTGCCAGATTGCACCTGCTGGAGTTAGGCTATGTGTTCCTTCAAGTAGAACTAGGTTAAAGGGTAATATAATTTTAGTTTTCACAGGTATTATATGCTAATGTTCCCATTAATAAAACAGTGAGAGAGCTTGTTTCCTTATACTTCTTGCTCACATAATTTGTCATCATTACCATGTACAGAAGATTAAATGGCATCTCATCATAAATTTTAAAACTTATTTTTAACCAGGCACCAGTGGCTCATGTCTGTAATCCTAGCTACTCAGGAGGCTGAGATTTGAGGATTGCAGTTCAAAGCCAGCCCAGGCAAGAAAGTCTGTGAGACTCTTATCTCCAATTAACCACCAGAAAACTGGAAGTAGCGCTGTGGCTCAAGTGGTAGAGCGCTAGCCTTGAGCTGAAGAGCTGAAGGACAGTGCCCAGGCCCAGAGTTCAAGACCCATGACCGACAAAAACAAAACAAAACAAAACAAAAACCCCACCCAAACCCCTTGTTTTTAGTAAGCTGGGCATGGTGGTGTGCACCAGAGACAGAAGACCACAAGTTCTAAGCTCTAAGGCTGAGTAAAGTTAGCAAAACTTTACTATCTCAAAAACAGAGTAAAGGGGGCTGGGAAGGTGGCTCAGTGGTAGAGCGCTTGCCTTGCAGGCCTGAGGCCCTGGGTTCGATTCCTCAGCACCACATAAGCAAAAAGAAAAAAGCTGGAAGTGGCACTGTGGCTCAAGTGGTAGAGCGTTAGCCTTGAACTGAAGAGCTGAGGGACAGCTGAGGGACAGAGTTCAGGCCCTATGACCGGACCCAAAAAGAAAAACAGAGTAAAACAAAAGAGTGGGTAGACAATTTGATTAAACTTTGATTTCAATCCCCAGTACAGATGATCTATCAATCTATTTTATCTATCCATCTCTCTCTCTCTCTCTCTCTCTCTCTCTATATATATATATATATAAACTATGTTTGTAAATAAAATGCACCTAACAGTTTGAGTTCAGTGATTCTATAATCATGTCTATAATTCTAGCTATGCAGTTTGAGGCCATTCCAGGCATAATGTTCATGGAATCCTATCACAACCAATAAAAAAGCTAAATGATATGGTACCTGCCTGTGTATCTCAGCTATATAGGAAGTATAAATCTGAGGATCATGGTCCAGGTTGGCCCAGGTGAAAAGCAAGACCTTATTTAAAAAGATAATGATCACTGGACATGAAAATGAACTATACAACTTGTGGGTGGGGATGGTAAGGAAGAACTGGGAGACAGAGGCGGAAGGAGTGACATTGTCCAAAAAAGAAATGCATTCCTTACAGGATTTATGTAACAGTAACCTCTCTGTACATCGCCGTTATAATACTAGTTTAAAACATTTTAAAAAAAATAATGAAAGCAAAAAGTATTGGGATAGTTAAGTGATAGGACACCTACCAGGCAATCATGAAGCTCTGAGTTTAAAAACTTAGTATGGCCAAAAAAAAAACCTATAGATTACAAGATTGACGATCTTAATCATTTTTAAATGTACAGTTACATTTAATTTGAATTCTTGCACAACCATTTCCAGAAATCTTTTCATATTGATAAACTAAAACTCTATAGCCATTAAACAATGAGGTCCCCTTCTCCACTCCTCTCAGCCCTGGAGACCACTATTTCATCTGGGTCTCCATGAACCTGACTGCCTTGAGCATAATTGTGAGTGTGTGGTTGGCTTGTTTCAATGAGCATAGTGACCTTCACAGTGCATCTGTGTTGTAGCACATGTCAGAAATTCCATTCCTTTTCGAGACTGAACACTAGTCCGTCGTGCATACACACTACATCTTGTTTATCCACTCATCTCCGCATGGCCAGTTGCATTGCTCCCAGTTGTGAGCAGAGCTCTGAAAACATGGGAAGTCAAATTTATGGTCAAGACCTTCTTTTCATTTCTTTATGTACTAACCCTCAAGTGGAAAGTCTGGATTATATGGAAATTCTAGTTTTAAGTTTCTGGGGGAACCTCAGTATTTCTTTTCATACCAGCTACCCTATGTCACATTCTCATCAAAGTGTACAAAAGTTCAGATTTCTTCACATTCTTGCCAACATTTAATTTTTAAAACTGTTAATAGTAGGCATCCTGATGGGTGGGATGAAGTTTTCACTATCATTTGAAAATGGACTCCTCTTGTTATGAGTTTGAACATCTTTTCCAATGTACAAAAAAAGATAACAAGAGGTGACATTGTCCAAAAAGAAATGTTTTTTTATCTGACTTACATAACTGTAACCCCTCTGTATATCACCTTTATGATAAAAAATATTTTTAAAAGGAAGTATTTCCTGCTCCATGTACTCTTCCTATATATTTCTTTTGCCTATTTTAAGTAGGTGAAAGGTTGGAGTGGTGGTAAGTAGGAAGGATTCTAGGCAAAGAAAATGTTATCTACAAAGACACTGACATTGGTGAGCATCTGAGAGAAGGTAGGAGAAGGTAAATGTGGCTAAAAGGAACACACTTGTCTTATAATTCAATCAAAGATTTGGGGCTTTACTCCCACAGTGATGGAAACAACTAAGGAAATTATAAAAGAGGAGTGATATAATCAGATCTGCATTTTGTAAAAACTGACTGTGAATGTGGTGTAGTAAATAAATAATAGAGAGACAGAACACTCACAGGAGGTCAAGTCATCTGCCCACTGTAGTTAGGTGGGGGAAAAAACAGATGATTGGTGTAGGATTTCTGGAGAACTTGGGAGATCAAGAAATATTTAGAATTTTAATGTATTAAGATACATGAGGACAAAGGGTTGTTTGGTTCATTCATTCAACAACGGAGTGCCAAGAATCATTCTTAACAGACTGATACCAGCATGTGTTTTAATTTTTCACTTTTACATACTTAGTAGAACTATAAATGAAAGCTACAGAAATCATACTTCTAGTCTCAAATATGCAGATGAGCCAAAAGGTGGTGAGCTAATTAATATTCATAAAGCCTGAAAAATGAGACTAATACTAACACAGTGAGCCTCGTGAGGGTAAAAGCTAGGCAAGTGCTCCATTGATCCCTATCCCCAGACCAATTAATTGAGTCAATATGGAATTCACTTAGTGTATTCTGTACTCCTCAGAGCACATCACTGTGGTAATATAGTCAGTGAGGGTGGTTGTACTTGAGTGACACGGACAAAATTAGACTTCACTAAGTGAAAGGGTAGCATAGTTCACTAGGTAATATTGAAATTCTGTCAAATGAGGAACAATTCAAAGGACTGGAAGATAATGAACCTGAAGCAGAGAAGAGTATGAATATGTGATAGTCATCTGTAATGTTGTTGTGGAGGAATCAGTTTCATTTGCTGACAGGTGTAGGAACCAGATTAGAACCTGAGAGGATGAAGAACTTTTAATAGCTATCACCACAGACTGGGATTTCTTGTGAGGTAGTAAGCTGCCCATCACCTGGAACTGCTCAAGCAAGAATGGGGTAAAAATATAGAAGAGAGTTCTTTAGGAAGTGTGCTGAATTAGCTGTATGATTGAGAGCCATAACTTTCCAATTCATCCCTAA